ACTGGACCCTCCTTCTGGAAAACATACATCTTTTTGTCCAGATACGTCCATATATTCTTGATTTAAATCTGTGCTTGCTGAAGCTACGTCAACATTTTCTTGACAATCCGTTTTCTTATTTTCTGGAATACTTAAAAATTTCATCCAAGAACCTGCCAATATTTCTTTCTGTGCCTCTTTTCCTCGTTTTTGCTGTCGAAATTGCGCTCCTGAAAGTTTTTCCTTTTCTGCGGTTCCTGAAATTATTTGTAAAGATTAAGTATTTAAATATTTTTAATTTAATCTTTTTTGTTACAATAATATTCCGGAAAAGTTTAGACAGATGGGATTTGAACGCACTTAACAGTTTCTACACTCAGGGGCGGATGCGCGTCTACACTTGAGGGGCGGGGCGATCAAGGGTTGAGCACAAATCTGATGTGATATTTAAAAATGATTTTTTTAGCGAATATGTTTATATAGGATGTTCAAGAGAGATAGCTCCATTATTAACCAACAGACCCCCCCAATATCCGCTTCTGTCTACACTTAGTCCAGTTGCAATGCCTAATCCGATCGGTGGTGATTTGTGGTGTATGGGCTAGTATTATTATGGTAAAGACATATATAGACGTAATAACATATTCACCATAAACGTAGCTAAGTACATACCATAATCACTATTCCTTTGCACGTCCCTTTTGCACTAACAGCTGATACTTTTGATTGTAATCACGTCAATAAGGTTTAATTATATGTATATGTATATATATATACAATTACTTGTTAATTGGGAAATTGGCAAAACTTTTAGGCTTAAGTTGACTTATTTGACGATAAAAATCAAGATTTCGGCATTCTCTATGGAGCCTTCATCAGGATTCTGAAAACACAATTGTGATGCTAGCAAAGAAAACAGGACAGATTTAAAATGCCAGACAACTTACTCGTCGGTGAGGTTGCAGCCACAAGGTGTTTCAGAACGAACGTAGAGAATATCGAACTTGTGATCAGTATAAAAACAAAAGGACGGGAACATTGGGCTTGTTGAAAAACGACAGATACCTTCATTAAAAGTTAAAAAAAAATATATATCAATACACCCGAACAAGTTAAAAATATTACACGTGGGGAGTCATTTTGTTGAAACAATCGGAATGCAGTCCCTAACCTTCTACTACGGCTACACGTGGAGAGGGGGAAGGCACCGAAAGGTAAAGCGTCGACAGATGACAAGTGATTGACGCGACGGACCGTGGAAATGTACACCTCCCTGTCCAACTTTGGGTATGAAGTATACGAGGGACGCTCGGTTAATCTCCACCTAAAATTACTAAAATGCTGAAATAACTTGTTTTGGAAAAAAGTGCGTAGTTCATATGAGTGCAGAATGTGTGATATTGATACAACCTTGAAAAGATGGGTTATGTGAGTTTATATTAAAAATGTGAGTGAGAAAATGTATTCTAATTTTTTGAAGATGTTGGTTCAATTTGGATATGTAGCCGTTCTAGCTTTTCGCAATTCAACAGCTAGGAATAAATGACACTGAGCTGCTTAACATCAGCCTTTTTATTCATGCAATGATCTGTCATGAAAATGTGGGACATTTCTAAAAATAAACTTTTGAGGGTCTTTTTTCTTTATCAAGAACCTCAATACTACCATAGCACATCTTTCTGGATGTAATCTGGCACCACTTTTGTGTGACGTCATCCTGCCTTTCAGCGACCTAGAAGTTTGGCCTATATAAACTAAATTGCAGTTGTTGCAATTAATACGATAGACAGTATTGCTTGAATCAAGCAACTGAACCTTATCCTTCATTTTGGACAACGAACTGTTGACTGTGAGCACTGATTTACAAGCAAAACGACAATTAAAGGAATTATACAGCCTAATCAATTTTGGTGTTAGTTCTTTGATGTATGGCAAAACAACATAATTAACTCTGGAAATAGGAGCAGCCACTGTAATGCTGTTGTTCTCATAAGTTGAAGAATTAATGGGTATCTGGTTGGATTGACCCGTGTTGTCATTTTCACTATAGTTATTAGTCATTGGCAATGACTACTGCTCATATACGTAGTCATGCCATAAGTTCTGTCCCTCGTTTTCAAACAAGTGTAGACCTGTTAATACTTGTCCGATTGTTTACATTGTGGTGTCAGTTGATTAAGCGCTTTTCGGGTAATTACATATACCTCAGTTTGTATTGATCTCTCGAAGCATAACGATGGAGTGGGGCAAGGCAGAGAACCGTATTGCAGTGATAGCTTTACATAAGTGTAATCACAGTGCTAGTCAGATTTTTGAACTCTTACGCGGCCTTCAAATATCGCGTAAATTTGTGTCTAGGACCATTCAGCGGTACAAATAGACGTCCTCTGTTGATGACAGGCCAAGAAGCGGAAGACCTCGTCAAGTAAGGACTCCAGCAGCCATCAAAGCCGTAAAAGCCAGGATTCAAAGGAATCCACTCCGGAAGCAGAAGATCCTATCCAGGGAAATGAAGATTCCTGTCCGGACGATGTCGCGCATCATTAAACAAGACCTAGGGCTAGGGGCTTACCGGAGACGTACGGGCCAGCGACTTACGGCCACCTTGCGACACATCAGGGCGACAAGATCCAAGAAGCTCTTGGAGAGGTACGCAGCTGGGGGATTCCGAAAGATTTTGTTCACGGATGAGAAAATCTTCACCATAGAAGAAAAATTCAACCGACAAAATGACAAAGTGTATGCAAGGAGTTCACAGGAAGCTTCGGAGATCATTCCGAGAGTTGAGAGAGGCCACCACCCTGCGTCAGTCATGGTTTGGTGGGGGGTGTCCTACGAAGGGGTCACTCAGCTCCATTTCTGTAAACAGGGCGTGAAAACAAAAGCGGCAAACTATCAGAGCGACATACTGGATCCTATCGTCAAGCCTTTAAGTGGTACATTGTTTGCCAACCAACACTGGGTCTACCAGCAGGATTCCGCCCCCGCTCACAAGGCTAAGAGTACGCAGCGCTGGCTGGAAAGCAATGTGCCAGAGTTCATTGCTGCGGAAGATTGGCCCTCAGGGAGTCCGGACCTCAATCCTTTAGACTACAAGTTGTGGGACCTGCTAGAGCAGTTGGCCTGCTCCAAAGCCCACCGTAATATCGAGTCCCTGAAAGCGGATTTGATCCGATCAGCGGCAGCTATTCCTTTGGAAGCTGTGCGTGCAGTGATAGATGAGTGGCCCGCGAGATTGAAGCAGTGTGTGAAGGCCAAGGGGGGACATTTTGAATAAAACTGTTTGATTATGAATTCTAAAAATGTTGTCGAATAAATAATATCTTTCATATAAATATATCTTATCTTGTTTCATTTTTATCATGAGATTATCATGGGACAGAACTTATGGCACGACTACGTATATAAGTATATAGAGAGAATATGATCATGCGGTGAAAGGTATATAACAACTAGTAGGAAAATAATGGGCAAAATCCGCAAAAAGGAGGAAAGTGGATTCGAGCAGAAAATAGGATAGGTAACACGAAGTCCACAACAAGAGCCAGCCTACACATTTTAGTATAAAATGGCTATACGACCTCGAATTTTCAAGGAGACGTCTAACCACAACGTATCGCTCTGGTTACCTATCCTATTTTCTGCTGGAATCTACTTCCTCCTTTTTGCGGATTTTGCCCATTATTTTCCTACTTGTTATATACCTTTCTCCGCATGATCATATTCTCTTTGTAGATCCTTTGGGCTTGAAGTACCACAGCAAGTGGCTATAACCGGCCGCGTGGTTGTGGTTAGACGTCTCCTTGAAAATTCGAGGTCGTATAGCCATTTTATACTATTTACAATGTGTAGGTTGGCTCTTGTTGTGGACTTCGTGTGTCGTTTTTTCCCCCTCCAACTTCGTTTCCTCAGGTTACACCCGTATCCGGATGTGTGGGCATGTGTATCTACTTTTGTAGTTTCATATGTGCATTCATTTCGGGCGTGATGAAGCCAACCAGCAGAAATACGTATCGCTCGGGTTACCCATCCTATTTTCTGCTCGAATCCACTTTCCTCCTTTGCGGATTTTGCCCATTATTTTCCTACTTGTTATATATATATATATATATATATATATATATACAGTAATGTTCGCTCACAACGAACCCGTTTATAACGAACTTCCGGATAACACGAACATAAATGTTTGATATATTCGTAAAATTTTTGCAATCGTCAGCGTCTGCCGCCAGTCCGCCACCGCCATTTAAAGTAGAATGATACGGGTGATGTTCGCGCGCTGTAGTCTCATCGTACAACAGGTAGACAAAGCAGCCCTCATTGGCCAATTCACAATCGCCCATGCTGCGTCGCCGTGAAGTTGAAACACAGAGAAAGCCACTTGATATGGATACTTTGTATCGAATTTGGCACCACCAAACGGGGTTGGGCGATTCCACCTTCTGGCAGACGACGGCGACGTTTAGTATTACATGTTAACGTAAATTTATGGTGTAGGTGGAGTGGCTATTTTTTATGACAATGTCTTCAAATATTACGTGATGAGTCGCTCGATTTGCCCCCCCCCCCTTGGACGTGCCGCCCGCATGCAGTGCACGCCTTGCACTCCCGGTGGGGCCTCGATATCGACCCCCCTGTATGTGAAGACACCAGCGCGCGATCCAGGTGCGACATCGGCGCCATCTAGCGCTAAGAGGCACAACTCACACACATTTCTCATATGAAATTGAGTTAAAATAAGTATTTTAGAAAATATACCCAAAAATTGATGACTGGGGTGTATCAGCACTCCGCTCGGGTTGATGAAGGTTAACTGATGTTGTTGGGTAAAAACAGAAACTTTAAAGCAGGTTCTATTGACGTTTCGGCAGTTACGATGGTACTGCACCAAGGTTTTGCTATCCCACTGCCATGGTACAGCACCTACATCCAAGACCAGATACTGCATGAGTGCCTCTCTCAATGCAGTGCTGGCTCTTGCTGCGTTATTTCGCGCCTGCCGCCCAAAAGATGACATTTCATAGGACTCCTGACTCCACGCTCCCACCTGCAGCTGTCCCGCCACCTCGTAGGCTACAAAGCCAGTGAGGGCAGTATCGTCGTTCGTTGGCTGGAATCTCTGCCTCACTGGCTTGCAAATAATTGTGGAGTACTATTATTGCCTTCACAATTTCTTCGCAAGTATCAATGTCGGCAATAATAGTACTCCTCAAGATCCTCCAGCGCTGTGCAAGGATTCCAAACACATTTTCAATTACCCTTCTACGAGTAGATCTGCTCAAGCGGTAATTGAAAATGCTTTCAGCCTCAGGCAGCGCTTGTCCTGCAAATGGACGCATAATATGGCTTGACAGTGGAAATGCCTGATCTGCTACAAAAAAATGTGGCATTACCACTGTCGAGCCAAGCAATACCTTTGGACCAGGCGTGTCCAACCGAGTCTCTAATATTTTGCTACCAATAGTGCTATGTTTAAAAACTGCATTGTCATGAGTGGACCCTGGTGCCCCTACCATGGTAAAGGTAGGTAGGACGCATCGCACGCCGCCGTCAACACAAGGCTGAACGATTTTTTATATTTAAAATAGTCACTACCGGAATGTCTTGGAGCCTGCATATGGACATGCTTACCGTCCAAAGGACCAAAACAATTTGGCATATTCCATTTTGATGTGAAGTCTTCCACAATACTTTGCCATTGCTATCGGTTTGGCTGTTGCAGCACTATAGGCTGCAAGTGCGTCCATAACACCTTGCAGGTGTCCTTAATTATATAGTGGACTGTTGACTTTCCCACATAGTAGTCCCAGGCCAGTTGTTGCATGGAACAGCCTTCCGCCAAATAGCTAAAAATAAAAAACAAATTTAGCGCACATTACTAGCAATATCACCAATAAAGTGTTATGGTACCTCACTACACATGCTACGGTATGTATTGAAAATGCGTCTCCCCACATGAATTTCTGTAAACATACATTCATCATGAAGTGACTGCAATAGACTCTCCAAGCAACATTTCTTTATCTACTGGGTAACTTTTTAGGGAGGGCTCGCTCCATCTCTCTGATATTACACATGGGATGAAACATGTTAAATAAAAACACCTGTTACCAAAACTATGCTCCTTATTTGGACCATATTTTTAACAATTCCTGGTAATTCATTACTACCTGTGCCCCTATTCTTGAGTTCAATAGAAAATCACACTCGCTCTCTTTTCCTACTCCCCCGGTTTTAATTTTATCTTTAGCCGAAAACATAGGGTAAATCAGGGTGATATGGCGAACAAAAAAAATGAGATATGTACAAGAGAAGAAATCGTTTATTTAAACAAAATAAAAACGCTATTCTTTTACAAAATATATAGGCAACAACTTCACAGGATGATATCCTTTTTAAGGCATTACAAAAGTTTGAAAAAACAAATTATTTATTTTTATCAAGTTCACCATTTCACCCATGCATACGGGTGAAATGGCGATTGCACTTTGGGTGAAATGGTGAATTTACTTCTCCTGCCTTTTACCACAGATATGACACATGGATTCATATCTTGAACAGTCTTCGTGAAGCCAAAGTTGGCAGCTAATACATTTGACCCAATCAACGTCCTTTTTAGTGCATCTATACAGTTCGCCGCATCCTACACAACAGCAGTCTTCATTCAAGTCCATATCCAGCGATGAGTCAGATTCGGTGTCAGTGGTAGACGCTTTACGTTTCGTACGTTGCTTGTTTTTGGTAGTTTCTTTGGTTATGGTTTTTCCTTTGGCCTTCTTTTTAGCATTTTCTCCACTCTTCACTGACTCAATTGATGTTTTGTTTTGGCATTTTCTGTTTCGTAGGTTAACAATGTTTGCTGGAGAATTCAAAATCTCAGCTAAAGCTCTAGAATCTTTTCTTGCAGATGCAACTTTATTTACCATAGGTATCGGTGAGATATTATCCAAAAGTTTCCCAGGGGTTATTTGAGATTCTTCTATTGCCACTATTAAAGTCAGGTCTGTTGCCTCCGATGAGAAATGAATGTTTTTCTGTAGATTTTCTCCCCGTTGCAAACAGCCCAGTTGTGGTGAAGCTTGCATGTGTTCAATTCCCTGATTGTTATCTACTTCTGCAGTTGCTTCTGCCGAGGGATTTGGGATTTCCTGCCAGTGCGAACAACCTGGCTGAGGTGAAGTAGATATTTTTTCACGTCGCTCGTTGTTTTCCTGTTGATCTGAAGCTGATGTTAAAAAGGCATATTCGGGAAATGCTCTGACTAGTGGCTGCAGATAATGCGTCGTGTGGCTGGGTAGACAGAGCAGAATTATGTTATTTTCCTCTACAAACTCTAATGTGTCCACACTGCTACAATGAGAGCTGTGTCCATTCAAAATGAGCACGACCGTTCCCTCAGGCTTCCTCGGTACAAAATGGTTCCTTAGCCACAGAAGGAAAATATCAGTTGTCACGTACGCCGACTTTTATGACATCAAAATAATGGAACCAGGCGGCATACCGTCTATATATTCAGCTTTTTCATTCTTCCCCTTTAAAACACATGCTGGTGGTAGAAACATGCCCTCTTCATTACAAACAAGCAATAACGGAGATGGTTTCTCCCTTTTCACCTGATGTTATTGCTGCGACGCTCTTAGATCCCTTTGCGGCCAGCACATGCCCTGGTCTGTTATTTAGTTGAAGTCCGGACTCATCTACGTTAAATATATTTCCCGGCTTATCAAGTAGATTGTGCTCTATCAAGATATTTTGCAGCAATGAAAAATAGTCTGAAACGTTTTTCTTGTTTAATCCCCTTGATCATGCCAGTGAAACTCCCTCCGATTTGCGGACCGAGAGTTCTGGATTGCTTTTTAAGAATAAATGCAGCCAATCCATACCGGCAATTTCCTTTTCTCGGATAAATTTGTGGTGCGGGTGACATTTCTCAGCCAGTTTATATGCCATGATACGTACTTCTGTTCTTGTCGGTGCAAATCCAAATTTTTGTAATTTTATAATATGTTTCACCATCTTCTTCTCACCTAAAGCTTTTTTCGTGAAACAACCATTTGCTATTCTTCTTTTCAGCGTTGACCATGGAACACCAAACTCCTTTGAGGCTTGATTCAGGCTCATTCCATTTTGTACTGCGTTTATGGCATCTTTAAGTTGCTCCTCTGTCCAGTCAGCCCGACTGGATCCTCTTTGCCTTTTATAAAATGTAGGCATCTTTGCCTATAACAAAGGTTACAGTTAGAACTTTTACTTAGTCCGAGAAATACGAGAATATACAGTATATTAAGATAAGAGATAGACCGGACATAAACAAGACCATGTGATCATCGAACGCTGTAACATTCGGCAGGGACGTATTAAGAGTCACGCAGTACATATTTTAGATAGTAGATGCTGCTTTGAGTAACTTTGTAGTAAATTAGCACAATTCGATGTGTATACGATTGGTGATGGATATAGGATCATGTGGGGGTGGGGTAAGAAATATATAATGATGTAAATATACATAAGGGTTTCAAAATTTTTGCTTCGATTTCCAGCTTCGGATGCCGCCTGATGTTTGGTGAAATACAGTCGAATATAATCTCAAAATGGCGTTTAAATTAGCCTAAATTAAAAATAATCGTACACGTATATCTCTTAAAATTGCTTTTAGAATATTGATTAGTATATTTTTTGATTTCTAGGTAAATATGTAACCAAATTAAAACGTTCAAAACGTAAAAAAATGTGCATGGTTGAACATTGTCAGAAAGTAGATTCTTGAATAGGTTTTGCCAAAATGGGTTCAAAAATGTCAATAATTAATTATAAAATACAGTAGCTTTATAATTACTTATAACTTACCGAATTTGATGAACGACATCTTTTATTGGAAAGATGAGCTTGATGAGCTTTCATCATCGCTACTGCCTGAAGCACCAACGTCAATAATGAATGGCTCGACTTGTTCCTCTAAAATATTGTCCAGTTCCCACATTCTCTTTTCAACTTTGTCTTTCACGTGCTTAATACAGTTTTCCCATTTTTGCGCTGTTGTTAATTCTAGTGCTTCTTTGAAAAGTCCTTTGAGGTCACAAAATTTAAAAGTTGTATTGTGCTTAGCTATATAATTTTTAACCTCTGCCCATATGAGCTCAATGGGATTGAGCTCGCAATGGTATGGAGGTAAACGGAGCACAGTTTTATTTTGACTTGCTGCCATTTCGTCAATGGCGTATTTTTGATAGTCCGCCTTGTGATCCTTGACAATTCTTAATAATTGTACTTTCAGCATTGCTTCTTCAAAGATGATATTTTTCGAGCGGAGCCAATTTTGAACATCAACTTTCCTTGAAGCCGTTGTTGGGACCTTCTCCATTCTTCGAGAATGATAAGGCGCATTATCCAACACAATTACTGCGTATTCCTCTAAGTTCGGTAAAATTTTTTAAAACCACTGTTCAAACGACTCACCATTTATTTCCTCGTGGTAATCTCCAGTTTTCTTAGACTCAAAGCACCACAGACCGTCAACAACAAATCCATCCTCACTGCCAATATGGCAGATGATGAGCCTTTTCCCTTTACCTGGAAATCGAAGTACTAACTGGTGTAGATTTATTTCAATAAGTGAACCTTTTTCAAATGTTTTCATCACATTCAGCGAAAAAACATTGAGACATGAGTATCAGATTGCTATAATTGGGATTATTTAATCATATTGAAAGAAAGAATATTGAACGTCGTATGATTACTCAGCGCTTAACAATTTAATTTAAAGTTATAAACCTTTAAAAAATGAATGATCAGGAACCTGAAATACGCGCAAATATTAATATTAACAAATTATAACTTTATAAAGCTTAAAGTATGAATTAAAATGATTAGGAACGGTACACAATATAAAACTTAGTAACTTTTCTTAAGTTTATAATATTCGCCTTTTTTTAAGATTATATTAAAACATTATTGAAATATCGAAAACACATAAAAACATGGCTTAAAAAAGTTCTAACAAATGAAAATGACAATAAAACATCCACGCATTTTATCGAAAGTTATAAAAGTTTTGTTACTTGTAATATGTTTTATCTGCCCCCTGGAATTAATGTTTAGAACCTTGTTCCCAAGGTTTGAAAAACATCCGATTGTTGTCTATTACTCGTATTTACCTGCTGGATTTTTTAATCCGGTGGACAGTCCATCTAGAAAGGCCCTCCGGGATGAAGTTACAGAATCATCAACCCATACTTTACTTGTAGTGTGTCCTGCGTTTACCCACGTTTCATCAAGGTAATAGATCTTCCTGTTTTGATTTCTATATTTCCCAATTTTTGTTAAATAATCCCTCCTCCATAGCACAATTTCTTCTCTATCCAGTAGTAAACTATTACGACCCCGTTTTTTCCATTTGAAATTTAAATGCTTGATTAACGCATGGAAAGTTGATCGTTTGAAATTTGGCAACGTTGTATCTCCATTTACCTCCTGCAGTACTTTATCTATAGTAGGTATTTCATTCCTAAAGAAGAATTCATGCACTTTCCTCCTAATCGCATGCTTATCAGCTACATCCAATGATTTAACAATACTTTTGCGATGTTTACTGGTCATTGGCTCAGAAAAGGTGTGATTTTTTTTGTATTGTCTTAACACATTAAACACTGATGCGCGACACACCCCAACTTTGTGAGAAACCTTCACAACAATTTCTTTGATGGTTGATGCCTCGTTCTCCTCGCGCTCGATCTTATATATATTCAAAATGACCTCTTTCATTTCTGCACTCAGGTGTCTTTTTTTAGAGCGTTTCCTAGGTGGACTACAGGAGTTTACAACTTCATCGGCAGTATCTGTACTACTGGGCATTTTGCGCAAGCAGTTGATAACAATAACAATCAATAACAAGGTATAACAATAACAACGACAAACTCAACAACTTAATAAGATAACAAACGAAAACGTCCAAAGAAATATCAAATTGCAATGATGCACACGACATACGTAACACGTCTGAACCTGAATGTGACTCTGCCTTGATACGACTGCTCTGCCGCTCGGCATAAGCATTTAATTGCGAATTGACCAATGAGGGCTCCTGTTTTACGTCGAGACGGCGGCGTTAGCGTGAAAATCACCCGAACCTTTTGTTTACATCCGGTCTATCTCTTATCTGAATATACTGTAGTGTGTGTTTTGTTTTAATCACTGTCAAACCAAACCAAACCCGACCAAAAAAAATAACAAAAAAGTTTGGACTTGCCCTGATTTGAACCCGCACCGCTAAAAAACTTAAACGTGACGGTCCACCGCAACTCCCATTATGCCACAGCCGCTACAACTGCACGTCGAATAAATCCCGCTTACGATAAGAAACGTAAAATTCATGCATTGACAAAGCCTAGCCTTACAAGTAAGAAAAGTCGGCCACCACCCATGCTCGAGTTCACCATTTCTCCCATTTGACATGGGTGAAACGGTGAAGAGCACTGGAAGAAGTTCACAATATTATAGGAAACGATTTTTAGGTTATGTAGTATATAAACAGTCTAAGGCGGCAAAATATATCAAAAAATACCTCGCGGACTACGCTACTTGAAGCAACATTTACAAACACATGCATCGTATAAAAATTATTGAGCATCGGAAACAGTTTTGTACAAATTACTTACGGTTTTTAAAACGTGGCTGGTTTTTAACAGTTGCTCGCTGAACATATGATTATAAACTGTCGGCATTCACACCTACAGAGACATCTGTGTACTTGGAAAAGAAATAGATTAATTCACCATTTCACCCGATTCACCATATCACCCCGACTTACCCTAATAGTACTCCTCAAGATCCTCCAGCGCTGTGCAAGGATTCCAAACACATTTTCAATTACCCTTCTACGAGTAGATCTGCTCAAGCGGTAATTGAAAATGCTTTTAGCCTCAGGCAGCGCTTGTCCTGCAAATGGACGCATAATATGGCTTGACAGTGGAAATGCCTGATCTGCTACAAAAAAATGTGGGATTACCACTGTCGAGCCAGGCAATACCTTTGGACCAGGCGTGTCCATCCGAGTCTCTAATATTTTGCTACCAATAGTGCTATGTTTAAAAACTGCACTGTGGTGAGTGGACCTACCATGGTAAAGGTAGGTAGGACGCATCGCACGCCACCATCAACACAAGCCTGAACGATTTTTTATATTTAAAATAGTCACTACCGGAATGTCTTGGAGCCTGCACATGAACATGCTTACCGTCCAAAGGACCCAAACAATTTGGCATATTCCATTTTGATGTGAAGTCTTCCACAATACTTTGCCATTGCTACAGGTTTGGCTGTTGCAGCACTATAGGCTGCAAGTGCGTCCATAACACCTTGCAGGTGTCCTTAATTATATACTCGTAGTTGACTGTTGACTTTCCCACATAGTAGTCCCAGGCCAGTTGTTGCATGGAACAGCCTTCCTCCAAATAGCTAAAAATAAAAAACAAATTTAGCGCACATTACTAGCAATATCACCAATAAAGTGTTATGGTACCTCACTACACATGCTATGGTATGTATTGAAAATGCATCTCCCCACATGAACTTCGGTAAACATACATTCATCATGAAGTGACTGCAATAGACTCTCCAAGCAACATTTCTGTATCTACTGGGTAACTTTTTAGGGAGGGCTCGGTCCATCACTCTGATATTACACATGGGATGAAACATGTTAAATAAAAACAACTGTTACCAAAACTATGCTCCTTATTTGGACCATATTTTTAACAATTCCTGGTAATTCATTACTACCTGTGCCCCTATTCTTGAGTTCAATAGAAAATCACACTCGCTCTCTTTTCCTACTCCCCCGGTTTTCTATCGTTTTGGAAATACTGTATTCTTGAAAAGACTCAATAGAAAGGAGAAAGGAAATCAAGACACCGGGTTGCCAGGTTTGGGTAAACATGTTAAACCAATCAAAATGGAGATCATTTTGACAGTCAAAAAGTAACCAAGGATTTTGGTCAAGATTTCCTCGAAATTTTATCTTTAGCCGAAAACATAAATGCTTTATTTCTTTTGTAATTCTATTAATAAATGAATTTGTCCCGTTACAAGGATGTTGTTGAAGAGTATAATATTTATGTTATCATTTTACGCTCACAATTGGTGGCAACTTTCACACATCTATATAATGTATGCAACATACTTGTATATTTAAAATATGTTGCAAGTGGATTCCTGGCGGGAGATAAACTAATAATAAGCGCAACAGATAAATTTAACCACCTGCAACTATAAAGCATATAGCAACTGCAACTGTTAGGTTGTCTTTTTTCCCTAGGCATCACTATTGAGTTGGCAGGTATGTACTGACATGTTGAAACTAGTTATTTGTACCAAATTGTTTAATAGATCAATATTATATGCAAATAAACACTTTTTCATTGCCAACATATCCATTTGCATAATATAACCAATTTTTCATTGTGAACATGATGATATTGGGTTGTCTGCAAAAAACGTGTGTGGAATGATGGTTCTAAAGCTTGAATTTCTCATGTGATTGTAAAGTTGAGACAATATATGCCATCTATGTATAACTGTCCTATTTTATAAGAACTAAAAATTGAATCAAGTTCCAAGTAGAAACTGTTGATGATACTCCTAGATTCAATGTAATTTACCAAATACACAGATGATGACCTTCATACATAACATAAAAAAACACATGACAATTGCCATTCATTATCAATCTTAGCCACCCTCACTGCTATTTATTTCTCAACCGGTATTTACGCCGCCTCGCTCCGATATCCTGTGTTAACCTAACACCAAGCGCTCACCTCATCCTTCTTCTTCCCAATAGCAACATGCATCACAGCAACAACACGATTATCGAACTTTGTACTATATCGAAGTCTTCTACCCATTACCCAATTACAGCCGTAGCGATAAGCTGATCCACGCCACTGATACGATTGGTCGGTTCTTAAGAAAATGTTCAACATCTTGAACTTTATCTTAAGAAATGACCTTGAATTAATAAAATGACCATAACCTCAATATGTTGGATATTCGCTCTAGGCTTTCATCCAGAAACTACTTACTCCAACGTCATCACCAGGTGCTCCTCTGGCGATATTGGATTGCGTTCTGGTGCCTTCGGTAGATGTCTCTTCAATAACGTGAGGAGGTTGTCGTTCAACTGCGGCATCATGCGCGTGTACTTGAAGAATTGCTCCTCGTCCTCCTCCCGCATGAACTTGACTAACGTAAAATAATGCGAATATTTTTGCCTCCGCAGCCGATTCAACGGTAGCACGGCATATCGCCGTGGTTGCGGCGTAGCTACTAACGAGGCCGACCATGAAACCAATAGTGCTGCCATTGCCAGTGCGGCTCTTCGTTTATTTGATCTACGCATAAGCATCTTCAATTTATTGCACAAAAAAAAAGTCGAACATAGCACAACACACCGTAAAGCGGCCCCTAGCCTATCAATATTATTGCGCAATAATATTGCGCCATAATACTGAAACTTGCTCTACATTTCAGAATTTAATTGTGCAATCTTTAGTTGAAGTTTACCTTTTGATCAGAAAACATGCTCACTGATGATGAAGAAAGTTGTGTTGCCATTGCATTGGCTTTATGCCTTCAGAAAAAGAAAAAGAAAAATCGCAGGTGGATGAAGAGTGGTATAAAAAAAGAGATAGGTACACATGTGAACATTTATTGAATGACCTGAAAATATCCGAGGCAAAAGATTTTTGTAATTTTCTGCGCATGGATGCTGTGAGATTTAACCAACTGTTGGAAATGGTAACTCCTGCTATTGAGAAAAAGAACAATCATTTGCGAGATGCTATTCCTGCAACTCAGCGTTTGTAAATCGTTACGGGAAACAGTTTTGAGGATCTTAAATTTTCAAGTGCTATATCTCCACAGTCCATTGGCATAATTGTGATAGAAACTTGCACAGCTATAATAAAAAGCCTGAAGGATTACATAAAGGTAAGTAAAAAACCTAGCAGGGTAGAATAACGATAACAATTTTTTATTTAAATAGTGGTAGTGTAGTGGTTTGTTCAGTACTGTATTCGCCAGAATATGCTTGCTGAGTAGCATTATTTACTGTAGAGACTGTAGCCACTGCAGGCGGTTGTATGTCGTGATGTTGTAGATTGTACTGGCATATACTGGAACTTTGAGATGGAGGGCTGAACGGAGCGTATGTACGTGTGATGGGAGTAGATGTGCGAGAGGTAGTCAAATAAGCATATTTGCACAGTCTCGATGTAGAGTGCCCATTTGTCCCTCAAATAGAATGTCGTTTATAGTTTTTTTTGCAAACAGTTGTTGTACAGGTTGCATTTTCTCAAGTTCAACAGCCCATGCAAAACAGATTTTTTGGTAATCATTTGGCGGCTGCTGAAGCCGTTGGCATGCCAATGAAACTAGTTTTTCAGAATTGTCTTTTTTATTTTTCTTTGTAGGTGGTCGACCTCCATTCTGTAACAAAATGTATAATTTATATTAGAAAAAGTAGAAAATTAATATAATATAGCAACGGATATACTCTTTACATTTAGGTATTTATTTCGCTTTTACTTTTAACGTTATGTTCTTTTGCAGATTCCAACACAAGCTGAATGGAAAGTTACTGCAGAAGGATTTAACAATCAGTGGAATTTTCCTAACTGTTTGGGAGCAGTGCACGGGAAGCACGTCGCAATCAAAAATCCTCCTAGTTCAGGGTCATACTTTTATAATTATAAGCACTTCTTTAGTATCGTACTGATGGCAGTGGTAAATTCGAATTATGAATTTATTATGGTTGATGCTGGCATAAATGGAAGGATATCAGACGGAGGTGTTTTGAACTATACTGAATTTGGAAGAGCACTATCTAACAAATTACTACAAAATCCAGAACCACGTGAACTACCGAACAGTAAAAAAAACTACCATTTGTCTTTGTGGGGATGATGCATTTACAATGACCGAAAATTTTATGAAACCTTACAGTCAAAACGCATTAACAGCTGAGCAGCGAATTTTTAATTATCGACTTAGTCGTGCACGGCGTATAGTAGAAAACGCATTTGGAATTTTGGTTTCTAGATTTGGTGTATTTCAGAGATGCATCCCTCTATCCCCTGACAAAGTTCAAATAATTATGTTAGCATGTTGTTACTTGCATAATTATCTTAGAAAAAACCAACAGCATACATATATTTCTTAAGGTTCCGTAGACACTGAAGATTTGGCTTCTGGTACGATTGTGGAAGGAAATTGGAGGACGAATGGCAGTGCCACAGGTTTGCAAGCTGCATAAATCACAAATGCAACTATGAGTGCAAAAGTTGTGAGAGATACCTACTGCAATTTCTTTAACAATGAAGGTCAGGTTTCATGGCAAAGAATGTTTAAATAAATTATTATAACGGCTATTTATCATAAATGAAAATAAAAAAATACTTACATTGTTTTGATTAGTGATATCAGCCGTATCAAATCTCTCAATGGTTTCTTCTTCCTCTTCGTTATCCAGGCTCATAGAGCTTTGCGACTTACATGGCACTTCCAAACCTTCAAGAAACCTCATTTCGTCGAAATACCATAATGTAGGTTCGGCTATATCATCGGTTCCTGTCCCACTTTTTTCACTATCCTTTATTCGCTTCAACTCTTTTCGGATATTGGTACGTAATGAGTTAAACTTTTTTACTAATTGACCCTCATCCGCTTCAGGATATTTCTCTCTGTATTTGCGAAGTAACTGGTCATACTGCTCATTTTTCTTTTGTCGGTTACTTTTTATACACTCCAAAATAAAGTTCCTTTCCTCTTCTTTGGAAGTCATCCTCACAAATTTTTCTCGAGTTACACTCCCACAAACGCTCGACACAGAACTGATTAATTATTGTGCAATATTACCCACAGACTAACTTTTTTTCAGATTGCGCAATAAATATCAAGGCGAGTTTGATTTGGTCAATAATTATATTGCACAATATTTCAATATTATCCACATACATTCAATAATATTGCGCAATATGAAATATTGTGCATTAATATTGATAGTCTAGGGACCGTTTAAAACGAACACCAAAGAAAAACTATACCACAACGGTTGTTGACATTCACATTAATAAATTCTTACCTTTATGCGAAAGCAAACAAATACAGAACATAAAACACAAACAAAAAGAAATGATTTCCCCTTGATCTGTAAATCGTCGTGGAGCACACAACACAGGCGACGCTACAGGACTATTATAATTACGTGAATACAAGCATAAATCCGTATGGAAAGGCTATCCGAGGGTAACATGAGCTCCGAAATCACCCGAATCATGTCAAAAAATGGATGTGATGTCACCAAAACGTTTGACCACCACTGGAAGTCACTAGCTAGTTACTATCTGGAGGCGTAACATGTGGAGGACACTGGTGTAGAGACAGCTGATCCTTAAGTTAGCTTACGTTAAGTCGTGTATGAACCCGACCTGATACTGTAGCTTTACGTTTCTTACCTACGTAAGATACCATAGTGATCTCTTCTCTAAATCCATACAATCAGGCCAATTCTGTTTGGCTATAGCAATATTGTAACTTGTCATTATAACGAGATCTTGCTATGAATAGGCAATGTTTGCGATTCTTCTATTCTGTTCAGTATATTTTAATTTTAGCAAGATGATCTGTCATTTTAAAGAGATCTTGTTTTTCGATATTGTTATCTCGGCAAGTAGGTTTTGGTAGTTGCTAAGATAATAGTATTGTTAATGCAGAAAAATGGCCGTCAATCCAGTTTTTGTGAATTTTGATGTATGCTTTCGCCATTTAATTGAAAACGTTCTGGCAAGGTAAGTGTATTTATATACACTTTCTTATTTGTATAATCTCATAACTAACAAATTGCAGTCGAAGTTTACGCTTGCAGTTCCGAAATATTAGAGACACAAGCAATCCGTTGGAAATACCCGACAAGTTCAAAAAATTATTTCGTTTAAATAAAGCAGCAATAGATTTAATTACTCAGCTACAAGAATATGTAGGTGAAGCTTCAAGAAGAGACACTACCTTTTCATCTGCAGGTAACAAAAAACTATTTTTTCGTACTAACAATAATCAGCATATTATTCTAACATAATTATTCACACTGTGATGTAATATAAATTTTTAATTTTTTGCCTGTCATTAAGCAAATTATTTTCAGGTCTTTTCAAGTTTATTATTTTATGCTCATGGCGGTTATCAAACAACCATAGGAAAGGATTTTATTATAGCAATCAGTCAACCTGTAATGAGCAGAGTAATAAGCAAAATAAGCAGACTAATTGCATTATATTTGTCACCTCTATATATCAAGTTTCCTACAACTTTAGAAGAAGTTAGAAGAGTCAAAGATGGGTACATATTTTCTGTAAATTAATGATGGTCTACAGCATATCATACGTTCATAATTTTCAGATTTTTGGAGAATCGCCCAATTCCCAGATGTCATAGGCGTTATCGATTGTACTCATATTGCGATAGTGCCACCCAAAATAGATGATCCAGTTAATCCATCAATAGCATATATTAATAGAAAAGGGTTTCACAGTGTGAATGTCCAAGCAGTAAGATCATATTTATATAGCCTTGACTTAGAACATAATTCACAATATTTTACAGATTTTTGACTCTCAATTAATGTTAACCAATGTGAATGCTAAGTATTCTGAAGCAGTCCATGATGCTGCAATATGGGATTCCTCAAACATCCAGACACATCTCGGACAAAAGTATGAAGATGGAAGGAGGAACTGCTACCTACTTGGTGATTCAGGCTATCATCTTCAGCCATGGCTCATGACACCAATCCTAGAGACTAGGCCGAATACCCCTGAAGGTAATTATAATAGCATACACATCCACACTCGCAATGTGATTGAAATGGCTTTGGTGTTTGGAAAGCCCGTTTTAGGTGCTTACGAAGAGACAGAGTTTTTCATTACTCTCCCGACACAAGTGAAATGATAATTTATGCTTGCGCTGTTTTGCATAATATTTGCAGAATATATAATATTTCAGAACAAGAGTATGAAGATAATGATAACTCTGATGATATACTGAAGAGACTAGTGACAGCAGCCATTTTAATATTGCTGCAATTTCAGGCAATAATTTTCTGACAGAGGGCAGGTTCATCCGCCAGCAACTTCTAAATCAATTTTCAAATGCGAACACATGAATTATAAAGAATAATGTTTACAAAAATAAATGTTTAATGTAGATTTTAGTATTTTATTACCACTTATTACAATTTTTATTCCTCATCTTGAGGTTTTTGAGACATTGCTAAGAGCAACTGCTATATCTGATAGTCCTTCAGCTAGTTGTAATATTGCAGCAGCCATTGTTTTCACAGCTTCTGCCATTTCCCTTGTACTGCATGCATATAATTCAGCTGCTTCTTGCAGCTGTGTACTTTGGGGTTGAGAAGGCCTTTTCTTTTTCTTCCTTGAAGCTGCAAAAACAATACAATGAGAATAGTCCGACAACTTTCAGGTGTAGTATAGTAAATAAAATGATATGTCTGTATGTACTGTATATCGATAAGCTCAGCTTAAAGTTAAACATTGCATACAATCATGAATAATAAATCAAATTATGGTTTTTTCATCAAATTTTGTACTTCTTGTGAAAACCAAATTCTCTTGTAAATGGAGAACATTAAATTTTGCACACTACAAAAAATCTATATTTTAAAGAAACAAAACTTCAAATAAAAGCAGAAAGCACTTTTTTTTTCTTGTGAACACTCTTCAACCAGTGCCTTGTTGTGACAAACTTTACAAACCACAATAACTAAATTAGTCCAAGTTTAGTATGTAAATGCCTTGCTCCTTTATTTTTGAGGTGTCAATAGAAACAAAACATTTTAGATATTACTTTTTCTTATTTTTAAAAGATAAGGATATAAATTATACAAAAAAGTTTAACTAATTAAATTAAAAGGGAGGGCTGATGTTTTTTGGCAACAGCAATAGTAATATACTAACAACCCACCTGTCCTGAATATAGGTGTTTTGAAACTGGTGGAGATATTTTATCAGAATTTTCCTCTTCTCTTCCAGTTTCTGTTCTTTCGGCATCATCTTGCAGCTCATCTATTTCAATTTCTGCAGGTAGTCCCGGCTCAATATTAGTTAGACTGGGACATCCCATGATATGGATCCAACCACCCAATACATGTTAAAGTCTGTTTTGTAAATCCGTCAGTTCTTTACAAGTGTAGCCACCACCTCCCGTTTCCGTGATGGAATGTTTATATAGACGAGCTTTTGGTTTTTGATTTCCACTCATACAGAAACAAAAAGAATGATGGTTTTATTATTGATATTACTACTGCCCGATAATGCGATTACTTACAATTTTTCATTTTTTTGTGTCCTTCCTAGCACCGGTCTCAACAGAGTTCAGTTTTTCAATTAACTTATCCCACAAGTTTTCGCAGTCGCCGTTTTTTTGCGGGTGCATTTTTTGCGTGACAAGTATACGGTTCTCCCCTAAAAAATCTATAATGATCTCCATTTGAGCTTTGTTTGTTCGTTTGCTTCTGGAAGTCGTCATGAAGAATACAGAACGCACAGGGGAACACCTCGAAAGAATAGTTTGCACTTGAAAATGTAGGATGCAATCGGTCAAAATGTGAGGTTATGTAGCTCACTGACAATGACAAGGCTCCTAACTTTCTAGTTTCCTGACCCAGAACGGAAAAATGTAAAAAGATGACAGATACCTGCCAGTGTAGCCACGTGATCTCTTTATTTATAGCGAAATTGCTAGCTCCCGAAACTTCTAACAATACCTGCTAAGAAGTAGTGAACAGAATATGAATTTTGTAACCAGTATTGTTAATAGTTTGATAAAACGATATGGTTAAGATAGCAATATATTAGGCAAGATACAAACAGAATTGCCCTATATGACGAATTTTCTTCTCTACTTTAACTCGGCAAAAATTCAAGTGGAATTTCTCGTTTTTTTTTTTCATTGTGACGATATAGGTGAGTTTGTTTTTCCACAAAATATCCACAAGCTCTATAGATGTAAACCAATTATTAGCTGTAATATTTCGATTACTACCAAAAAGAGGTTTTGCCAAGCGTATTACTGCCTGAGTTGGCTTCGAAGATGTCTGCTCTTCAGTGCTCAGACCGATTATATCTGAATTTTTTCCAGTATAAATATACGCGTTATAGAGATAGCTTGTTCTGGAATCTGTTAAACACATTATTTTGATGCCATATTTGCGTGGCTTGTTCGGAATGTACATCTTGAAATGCGTTCGCCCTCTAAAACCTACAAGGATTTCATCGATTGTCACCGCATCGCCCATTCCATATGAATGCTGACAATTGTCAATAAATTTGCTGAAGATTTGTGATATTGCCACTGCTGGATTTTCTTTTTTCCGCTCTGCCCTTGTTCCTAAATCATCGAATCTGATTGCAGACAGAAGAATTGAAAAACGGTTTTTAGTCATGACGGCTCTATGTCCAGTGGCGGATTAACACATTTGCCGCCAGTAGGCCCCTTGTGATCTCTGCATTTCGATACCCTACACGGAGAAAATAAGGTGGAAGAAAATGTCAAATTTTACAACTAAAAAACTAAAAAATGTTATATATTTTTATTGGACTTACAGTGTATGTGTTAACCCTTAAACGGTCGATGTCTCTCCTGAGATACGGTCACATGGTACTGGCATGTATGTAAAAACCCATTAAAATGTAGCGAATTGGGCGGTGTATAGTGTGAGATACATTCACTAGCAACGTTGTGTCGCCTATGCCGGTTCATTTTATTTGCAGTTGTCCGCATGGTAGGTGGTACTGTGTGTCATTGTTATGGATAATCAACAAGTTTTGACTCCGGTAAGCTCAATATAGTACAAATTAGTTATTTCAGCCTCTGGTGTGTTCGTAATTATATAATTATGAAAGCTGATGCTTCCTTTGCGTCTTCATTGCTTTAGTTTTTCATTGAATAAATTTTTGAGGTTAGTTTTTGTCTTACAAATGTGTGTATCCCTAGATGCACATTGCCCATTAAAAATAACGTAAGGCATTTGATACGCAATTTATGTTAGAATACATGGTAACTTCAAGAACTATTTCAGGGTATCGCTCCCCGCATATTTTACGGAAAAGCAGCAAAGATTCCACGTATTGTTGTTGTGCTACCACCGGACGATCCATGTGTATCAGACGTTGGCAAATCATCAGATGAGGAGGAGCTGTTTGGCGGAGACTATAGCGATTTGGACCCCGATTATCAGCAGCCGCCCACATCTAAGAAGCGCAAATGCTTACCAGTAGTTGATACTTCAAGCGACTGGGAATCAGAAGATGATTTACCTTTAGCGAATTTTGTGCAAACATCGAGAGATAATTCTATACTAGGTGGTGATAAACGTTACACTTGGAGCAAAACAGATTTCCAACACATCAGATATCCAAAAGATGTCTTTTTTGCTGGAGTAGACGGAGAATATTCCCCTCTGGCTTATTTCGAAAAAAATTTTGACGATGATTTGTTTGAGCATATTGCACACCAAACGAATATTTACTCCGCACTGACAACTGGGCGTTCTATTGATACTACAGCTAATGAAATAAGGTCGTTTGTAGGAATTGAGTTGATAATGGGGGTAGTCCAAATGCCAACAATCGAAGACTACTGGGCCATAGAAACGAGATATAGTATTATTGCCGATGTTATGCCTGTAAAGCGCTTCAAGAAATTGCGAAGACGCATACACTTTCAGGATAACAATACTGATCCGCAAGGAGATAGATTATTCAAAATTCGCCCCCTTATAGAAAAACTGCGACAAAAATGTATAGCTATCGAAGAGGAAGGTTTGTTTTCTATAGATGAAATGATGATTGCTTACAAAGGCAAGAAAGCTGGAAGTCTGCGCCAATATATGCCTAAAAAGCCAAAGAAGTGGGGGTTCAAGATGTTCGTTCGAGCAGGCGTGTCAGGGATTGTGCAAGACTTTCTCATCTATACCGGCTCTAGTACTTTTGACGAAATTCTATTTTCAAAGGAGGAACAACAAATGGGACTTGGTGCAAAAGTGGTACTTGTCCTGTGCAGAACTATTCAGAAACCAGAAGAGTCTTTCGTCTATTTTGATAACTTCCTTTGTTCATTGGAACTAATTGAATACTTGAAGAAAAATAAAAAAATTGGCAAGTTTGGGAACCATTAGAAGCAACAGACTTAGAGGATGTCCCTTGCTAAGTGACAAAGAACTTCTACGGAAGGGGAGAGGTAGCTTTGATTACAGAGTAGACAATTCCGTGGGACTAGCGGTGATAAAATGGGCAGACACTAAATGTGTGACTCTGGCGAGTTCGTACATTTCGCACAGTCCAGTGTTTGAAGTTAGCCGATTTAGTAAAGAACAAAAGAAAAAGGTAAACGTTCAGTGCCCTCAAATAGTCAAACAGTACAACATTCATATGGGAGGCGTAGATTTATCTGATATGCTGGTTTCACTGTACAAGACTCCCTTCAAATCAAAGCGATGGTATCTCGCTATGTTTAGTCAGATTATTGATATAGCTGTCAATAATGCCTGGCTATTGTATCGGAGAGATCTAGCCTCACCAGCGAAAAATATAATAAGCTCAAAGACTTCAGAATAAACATCGCAAAGTCTTTGATTCAATCTCGTAACGTACCCAGAAAAAGAACTTCTGCTGCAGCAAACTTGCTCCCTCAAAACAAAATAAAGGTTCCCGTTGCTCCACGGCCTACTGAAGGTGTCCGGTTTGACAACGTTGGACACTTTCCAGTTTTCACTGAAAAATAACGCTGTAGGCTTTGCACAAATGGACAAACAAGAATTTTATGTCAAAAATGTAATTTGCGCTTATGCATCGTATCAGGAGCTAATCAGAGAAACTGCTTCACAAGTTACCATTCCAAGTAATGTTCCTCCTAGAAGCAATGTGCATTCGAAGATACAACTAGTATTTTTTTATTTTAATTTTTTTATCTGAAAAATGTTATTTTCTGTTGTATTTGATCAATAAAAGTTCAAAAAATTAGTCAGGACTTTTAATATAGACCTACTTCTATCGCTGCCCGTTTAAGGGTTAAGAACCCGCTTGATAAGAATAAAATCAATTAAGATATAAAAGTTTTAAATTACCTTTTTGCGCGATTTTATATTCGCAAAATCGTCAATTAAACCATCGTATGAAATATTGTTCATAAGTTCTGACTCTATGCACAAAAGAGCTAAAGTATTTAGCTTTTCTTGACTTGTAGATCGTAGATAGCTTTTCACCCGCTTTAAGCAAGAAAAGCTTCTCTCATCCGAATAATTTGTCGCTGGTATACACAAAGCCATGCGAACTGCTATATCCAAGTTTGGATAAATGTTCTCCAAATTCTGATTTTGCAGAAACGAAGATAGACTTTTTAATGAACCTGAGTTTTATTAAAATTCTTTGAGAAGAAAGTTGGCCTTGAAGGTGTACGCATTCTTGAACTAGGTCAGTTTCTAAATCGTTAAAGTGCATCCAGACATGCAAAAAACATCGTATCGTAACACCGTCACGCAACAATTGTTGTTACGCATCGAAATTACGACATGATCAAAAATACTAACATCATCGCGTAATCTAGCAGCAGAACATACTGCCGTTCCGTCTGAATTGTCTTTTTCTAGTTGTGAGGTACGATTGGTACGAAATGGAGGTTTCTGCAGCAGCTTACATATTTATGCATTATTTCGAAAAATAAAAAAACGCGGGTAGAAAGACGCTGGTGGCAGACAAAGTTGTATACTAATAGAAGGGCATACAGTGGAAGACACTTACTACAGGATTTAAAATTTCAGGCAATTAGTGGCCTCTACAAAAATTTTACCAGAATATCTCCAACAGACTTCGAGTATTTGATTAATGTAATTGGACCAAAAATAGGACGAAAAGATACTAGATGGAGAAGGGCAATTTCTTTCCAAGACAGATTGGCAGTAACAATTCGTTTTGTGCCGACTGGTGATTTCTATACCAGTCTACAATATCTTTTTAAAAATGTCTAAACAATCGATAAGTACTATAGTTCCTGAAGTATGTAAAGCTATCGTAGAAGTATAAAAAGAAAGTGTACAGGTAAGAAACTATTTTATTAAACAAGTATGTTAAACACTATTTCTGAAAATATTTTTTTATAAATACCTTAATTCAATGTCGGGCATATCCAGTAATTGGTGTGGTAAAGAGGTAGTGACTGGAGTAGTGCGACTTGAATGAATCGAAATACTAGAACTATCATAAGTAGATGCTGGAGATGGTAACTATGATTGTTGTTGAGTAAAATTAGATCTTTGGCTATCCTGATAGTGTTCAAATTGAGAATGTTGTGGCATAGAATTTGTGAAGTCTGACTGAAAATTATGAGTACACTATGTTTGCAAATAATCCAAATTGATTGAAGTTTGCCTGAGATGGATCCTGTCTGCATTAAATAAAACATTCATGATATCTTGTTGTACATTACCAGTTTTTTAGCCACAAGATTTCCAAATATCTGACATTCATTTTCGTCCCGTAGGTTATTGGCATTTGCTGATGCATCGGACAATATTTTAAAAGCTTGATCTAGTTTCTCAGAATCTTCACTCCTTTTTGCGTTTTCTAGGTGTCACCTCCGTTAGTTTCCTTTTCGGTCTGTTTTCTATATTCTCTTGAATCTCTTGTGAAGCAGAATTTTTATCGCTATCCGCTAATGTAGGTTCTTCACTCGGTATATCTTTTTCACCTTCACCTTCTTCATCATCTTCAATCTAAAATAATTAGGAGTATCATCTAACTTTTGTTTAAAATAAATATTTAGTAAAAAAGTTTAGTTGGGTAATAAAAACATTGCCGAATTTTTGACACAGTTGTTTATTTCAATTTTCAGATACCAACAACACCAGAAAAATGGATAGAAGTGGCAAAACAATACGAGAAAACCTGAAAGTTTCCACATTGTCTGGGTGCCTTAGATGGAAAACATGTTGTTTTAGAAGCATCAATAAACACTGGAAGCGAGTTTTTTAATTACAAATCAACATTCAGTGTAGTTCTTTTTGCTTTAGTGGATGCTGTTTACAACTTTTTGTATGTCAATGCTGGAGGACAAGGAAGAATTTCAGATGGTGGTATCTTTAAAAATTGCTCTCTTTACGAAAAATTAGTACAAATAATTTAAATTTTCCCGAACCGGAAGCTTAGGATGGCATGCAACTGAAAATTCACTACTTTTTTATTGGAGACGAGGCATTTGCTTTAACTGATTCATTAATGAAACCGTTTTTGGGAATACATCCGAAAGGATCACCATGAAGAGTGTTTAATCATAGATTATCTCGCGCACGAAGAACTGTCGAAAATGTATTTGGCATTACCTCAGCCGTTTTTAGGGTACTTCGTAAACCAATATTGCTTGAACCTAAGAAGGCCGAATTAATTATAATGGCAATAGCTCAACTACATAATTTTTTAAAGAAAAGTTCCACATCTGCTGCTCTGTATACGCCACGTGAAACTTTCGATACAGAAAATGAAGGAACGCTTATAGAAGGAACCTATAAAACTATAACCAATGGAACAATGTCCTCATTGCTTCCAATTAGAAATGTTCCCAGAAAACCCACCGGAAGTGCAGCACTAATTAGAGACGAATTAGCAGCGTACTTTCAAAATAATCATCGAGTTTTGTGGCAAGATATCTATATGTAGTACTTAATTTAATACACACAGTGCTTTGTGTTTCTCGAACCTGATTTTTGTCCCAAAGGAATTGCATACTTTTAAATGCATACCAACTACTTTCGTAGACATCTGAAAGCCCTATAATAAATAAAAAACAATTTGTAATTCAAAAGTACCTAAATAAAAATATATCAAGAGTAAATTAAAATTCACTCATTCAAACTTACCTTTTCCAGTACTGATTCTTTTTAATTTTGTCTTTCTCTCGCCTAAGTGCTGATAATAGAGTATTCATTTTTTTTACATTCATCTACTGTCGTTTTAAATTATACAGCAAGTTCTTCCCAAGCATCATGCTTTTTTATTTTATTATAATATTTCGGATGTTTTGTATCCCACAAAATATCTTTATTTTGGTAACTATTTATAAAATCAATAGAAGATGCTTCCGTCCACTCCATTGCAATTGTTTCAACTAAATAAATACAACGGAAGATAAAACGCGAGTATGTACGCACACCCGTCCAAACAAGCAAACAAGCGGTGCAACATCAGCGCGTAACATTCCTTTGTTGCGACGGCAGAAAACCGACAACCGATCGGACCCCTCAATGTTGCGGTGTTGCGCTGTTACGCAGTGTGGTCTAGACTTGATGCGCGACGGTGTTACGATACGATGTTTTGTTGCATGTCTGGACGCACCTTTAGGATACATTTTTTCCAAGAAATTTGCTTTTTTCGTTAGGGTCGATGTTGACAACTCACCTATTTTAGTTAGAAATGAAAACTTCCCGTTAAACCTGTTGTAAGCCTCCTGACGTTTTCCTACCTCGGACACGAGTCTATGTACGAGGATGAGAAACGTGTTAACCCAGAAAGTTTCACTCGCAGTCATTCTAATTTCTTCATCGGGTGTTTCGTTAAATCTTATTTTTCTTTTAGGTTGCCCTTTTTCCAATATCTGTTGTATATTGCTTCGATACGCTTAATTCCATCGCTTTTTCTTCGAAATACTTGAAGTTCTCTCGTTCAGTTACGAAAAACTTACAGAGTGATTCGTGAAGATCGGCAACGGTGATCAAATCTACGGTGAAAGCCTGAATTAGAACATTAACTTTGTTTATTCTCTCCAAAAAATCATTCCAAACAACAACCATTACCGCCGTTTCCGGTTTTTCTAAATTAAAAAGTATCCCCGCCGCTTCATTTGGCATTACATGCTTTTCGGTACAATCGTCCTTGATTGATTCCAAAGTTTCAAGAACTTCGTGCCAAGAATCTCCCAAACTCTTACAAGCGTCCTCTCTGGCTGACCAACGTGTTACATTCACTCTCTTCAGGGTTTTGCCTTTCCCGATTTCACTGGTTAATTTTTGCCAGAGATGTGTCGAGCTTACTAAAAAAACGTAAATTTCCTGTAGCAGCATGAAAAAGCGACAAGCTTCTGTACAAGATTCAGCAACAGCAGTTGTCACTGAATTCAAAGAATGTTCAGAACAAGGTACGTAAAAAGCGAAAGGTGCTTGGTCTTTAATTTTTGCTTGTAAGCCGTTGTATATGCCAGACATGTTCGCGGCATTATCTTATGACTGTCCACGACAGTCTTCTATATTTATGTTTAGTGTCTTGAGTTCCGAAATAATGGCAGAAAACATTTCTTCAGCTTTATGTCCCATTGACGACAAAAACTTGAGAAATCTTTCGCACGGTTCGCCTGTTTCCAAAACATATCTAATGACAAGGGTAAGTTGATCCACATGTGATATATCCGGTGTTGAATTGATGATTAGGGAATATTATTTCGCCTCTCTTATCTCGTTTCCAATCTGTTTTAACCCTGCGGCGGGCGCGCCTTTGAAAATCCCATGAGCGGTCGCACCGCGGTACTCTATACCGCAGGTAAAATAATTCTAGCCTCACTAGTAAAATGGATTTAAATTGAAAAATACATACAATACTAAACAATTATAGTCGTAGTAAATGCTTTATTTATTAAATAAGTATTGTAACTCAAAATAAATACAAAAACATCAAGAGATTCTCAAGTAATAAAAATCAAAAATACATTTCTACAAGTAAACGTTTTACAAAAAGGAATATATGTATATATATATATATACGAGTATATATAGTTTTTAAAAACTAGTCTTCCTCCATTGGGGGATAAAGACAACTATTACATTGCACCAATTTTTCACAGTGTGATTTACAAACAAATCTTTTGCATTGACTACAGGTAACTGTTGTTTTGTTATTTTTGTGTGCACTGCATATATGACAACGACCAATCCGATTTTCAGTCAGTGCGACAGGGACATTAACAGGAGTGTTGTAGCGCGAGATAGGAATTCCCTGATGTCCTTAGGAAGGGCGTTCCTTTAGATGATTTTCCATAAGGGATGAACCTAGAGAGGTCAAATACTTCCTTCTTCTTGGCGGCGTATCTGCTGGTCTATTATTATTGATTATAATTTCGGAGTTTATTCCTGCAATATCTAAAATTCTAAAGAATATTGCTAGAGGCCACCTTCTTGTGATTCTTTGTGTTGTATACGAAGAGCATTTTTGGTCGACTGTATCGACGCCAGATTTTGTTCTGTTATAATGTAATATTATTTCTGGTTTTTGTGTTTTCTCATCAATTTCATCGTTGTTATGCATGGTGGACAGCAAAATTACAGCTTTATTTTTTTAGAAACATGGGATACTAAAGTGACATCAGGTTGGAATCCAAACATAGACGATCCAACTGTCCGCAACGTGCTCGGTAGGAATTCAGGCGGTAATTCCCTTTTGTTTTTTTTTTAGTGTACCAGTCAAAATTAGACCATTTTTTAAAAGATATTCTGCCAATTCATAACTAGTGTAATAATTATCTGTAGTTAAATTTCTTTTAGTGTTTTTTATTTGCTCCACTAATCTCTGCACAATATCGAATGGTTTGTTTGAATTTTTGAAGGGTCCCTCATGTTGTAATCCACAATATATTTCAAATTTCCAAGTGTAATACGTTTTACTGTCACAAAGAGCATATAATTTGATGCCATATTAAGCAGGTTTGAGTGGCATATACTGAACAAATCCGCATCGTCCTCGGAATGGATGTAACATCTCGTCTATTGTGATAAACTCCCCCAAACTATAATGTTCCATGCAATTCTTGACAAAATCCTCAAATATCGTTCTTATCGCTGCTAATTTATCAAATTTCTCGCGTTCTTTTCTTGTTGTTATATCATCGAAACGAAGGGCACGAAGAAGAAACAAAAATCTTTTATAATTGAATAGTGCTCTTAACAGAATCATTCCAGTCCCATCCCTGGCCCAAAGCTCTTCAACATTCACATGGTTTCCTTTTTTTATGGAAATTATGAAAAGTGCTCCAAATAATGCCAAAATTTCATCGGAAGAAGTTAATTTACAATCTCGGTCTCGGGAAAAATTTGCAAGTTCATTTTCTATATAAATATTAGTGCACAATACCATATCCCTAGTCAAAAAAAGAAGAAACGAATCTAACGATTTTGACACATTTTTGGCCGCTCCTTTTGATCCAGGTAAAACTTTAATAATATTCTTAGCCCAGGTTTTGTTACCTTGAATTACAGGGGTGCTTTTCCAAATTGTCTCTTCATTTTTTCCAATATAAAAGCGTTCATTTTCATTTGGCCCAAAAAAGGATTCGGTTTCTTCGGAAAATTCATCAGCGGACTGCTCCGACTCACTGTTATAGCAATCTTCTTCAATGACTTCCTCTTCTCCTTCGCTTTCACTCTCAAAATCGACAACATCATCCTCATAATCAGACCAGTTCTCCGCTATGTAACGTAACTCTTTCTCAGTAAGTGGTTTCCTGAAGGCTCTTCTATCCCTAAAAAAATACCGAGCTTATATTTTTTTGTTCAAAAATAATTACAAAACTTTGAAAACTAATGCCAGATTATTTAGACTATTTAAAATAAAGTTTTCTGTGCAATATATATATATATATATATATATATATATATATATATATATATCAAAAATACAAAAGGTATCATTTCAAACTTTACTTACATGACCGGTCGCGTTGCGGCACGGAATACCGCAGATCAGCTCTCGTTACTTTGACGCTCCGAAACAAACTGACAGACTTACACCAATAAACTTCGTGCAAGCCAGGCGCTCCTAAAAATAGACATGATTGCATACCTAGACGGCCAGGGCGTAGGACAAATATACCGATAGAAAAATGTATTAAAAATTTAAATTGCGGCATGGAGTACCGCTGCGCGACCGGCGAAGGGTTAAGACTGTATGTCCCATCAACAGGGTAAACTCATCGCAAATGGTTCTTGATAAGTAACTGGTATTCTCTGATCCTTGATTTACAAATCGTTCAATATGACAAGCTAAAAAAGGATCGAATTCCGCTAGCAGTTCCAAAATCATGCAATAATTTCCGTTATGTGGATCACCAAACTTTTCATTTTTTCCTCTGAAAGCGAGGCCTCTAGAACACAGTCGCTTGACTACGGCAACAACTCTCTTCAGAACATTTCTCCAATAAGTAATTCCTTCATCGATCTGGACCTGCAATAAATTGTCAATTCGGCCATCAATCTCACTTCTAGCTTTCAAACTAAGGATACTTGATTTATGACGGGCAGAGTTTTCATGCTGAGCTACTCGATGTTCTGCATTTTTTCTAGTAGTAACAAGACTTTTTCACAATAATAAAAATTACACAAGATAAATTGACATAAAATACATGGCACTAAAGTAATTTGGCTTTGTAGGAAGTGTTTGGGCTTGCAGTAGATCACATGTGACACTTTTTCTATATTTCAAATCATGTCATAGAATGATGAAAAAAGGCTTATTGCGCTTGTGGTAAGAGAGATTATAATCACGTGACTGCTAAAGTCTTTTTTCTTGTTACACATGAGGCATAAAGATTACATGCAGCTTATAGTACTTATGGTGGAGACAACGATGACTATAATCTCCCCTTTCCCAATTGTAATTTTTCTTTCATTTTCTGGAGTCCCAGGTACTTGCAGCTCATTGTTAACTGACATTGCCATACTTCTCTGGCTTGAGATCCTGAGCACATGTTTAGATATGCAGTGATGACACTGTTCACTGTTTCCTTTGTTTATACATTTCCATTTTTTAGGGTCTTCGTAGCATGAGTCCAAGTGGTCACAAAGATATGGTATACTTTCTTCACTTGTTATTGTAACATGATCACCACACGCTATTATGGAAAAACTGTATATTCCTTCAGACTTGGTGCATTTCGGGTTGTGTTTTAGGAAACATAATGTATTTTCATCTTCTTCTCCTTTTGTGATTGTGTGTAATTGAATCGTCGTCCAGTCATTAAATCCTTCGTTCTCGAACTGAGTTTTATACTGCAGTGGACCGAATGCCAATACAGAATTTTTACTTTCAGAACAAACTAGCCAATTTCGGTCTTTCACTTCATTATATTTCATCTTCCTTTGAAAGATACTCACTGGCAAGAAACGACGCTGATCCGCATATATTTTTTCACTTTTAGAGAAGTCACAAGACTTGTTTTGATCGAAGCCGTACCTTGCCATAATCTCTCTTAAAGTATCGTTAATTTCCAATAAAGCTGGATCTTTATTTAGATTTACTGTTGTTTGCACTTGGTCATTACTTGTACTTGACGTGTGATACTGATACGCATCTTCAGTTGTTATACTAATTGACGTTTCTTCTACCGCTTCTTTGTCAAAAACATACATATCCGTTTTTTCAAAAGCAGATTGTTGAATAGAGCCCATTTGTTTTTCGGTATTATTATCACTGTATGTGGTTGAAGTTCCTGGCCTTACAATACTGCTTCTACTTCCACTTTCAAGAAAACTGTCAATTTTGATCGTTTTACTGATAATCTTGTTCTTCCTTTTTCATTTTGGCCTTTTTTCTATACTCAGCTCCACTGAGTCGCTTCCTTCCATCATTCATTCTTACAATTGGTTATTTAAGAAGTAGAAAAAAATGACATAAATAACATTAGGAGTCTTATTTCGGGTGCGTATTTATCAGTAGGTATCCTTTGTTCAGATTTCAGACCTTGAAATCCTTGAATAGTTATCTAATATAATGGTACAAGAGCTGGCAACGTCGTGAAATAAAGCGTTTAAAACGAAAGTTTTTTTTCTTTTCCATATATTCCATATGCATTTATCTATACACATTTGTAATTGCGAGACGTTTTAATATATCGATCAAAAGAACTTACCTGAAGTTCGATCGTTATTATATGAAGGTCCAGTCCGAAAATATTACATAATTGTGTAGTATGTGTCCCTTTCACTTTTAGCACAAGGTTCAAAGTAAAATTAAAAGAATCCGGCCCTGTGCCGGTCGCCCTCTGCAGTCGCTCCATCGGAACGTATTCAACTCATTGTTTTAAAGTATTCATTCGGCATCTTTTGGAAAACACATAAATAGCTTCTGGGTTAGATTCTTCCTTGGGTGTGTAGGGATTGTAATATTTTCGGACTGGACCTTCATATAATAACGATCGAACTTCAGGTAAGTTCTTTTGATCGATATATTATATTTCAGGTCCAGTCCTCAATATTACATAATTGTGTAGATGTTTAAAGAGTGTTTGCCAAAAAATGCCTTTCCTAAAGAGATATAAACATTATGTTATCAAACAAATGAAGCAAAACGGATATTTATTATAAGCTGAAATACAAGTAACAGAATAAGGGCATTCAATATACTGATGCCTAAACCAAAGAACATCATTATTTCCCTGATAACACTGTTTCGGCAAAATTATTAGATTCAGACAATGGTCTGTTGTAAAATTTTGCGAAGCTATCCGAGTGTGTGCTCCAACCTGCTGATTTCCTTATTGTGTCGATGGAAACACCGTTTCGTAAGGCTGATGACGTAGAAGCATGTCGAGTTGAGTGTGCTTGAAATACTGTGGTATCCACTCCTGCCTGTTTGAGGATATCTTTCACCCATCTGCTCAGAGGTTGCTTTGTTGCCGCGCCATGAGGTTTACTGTGCGTTATGAAGAGGGAGCCACAGGTTGGGTTTCTCAAGGTGCTTGTTGCGTTGAGATATTTTCTTATGCATGATGCAACACAGAGTTTTTGATTAAGTGAGAAATAAGGGAAAACCATACTAGGCTGGGAAAGCTTTGATTTTGAAGTTTTCGTTAAGTCCGGAATCAATATTACAATATTTGTTTCTGTAAATTTTATGTTAGAGAATCTAATAAAGGAAATCGTTTGAATTCTGTGACCTGTTGCTAGAACCAAAATAGTTACTAGTTTACCGGATAGAAATTTTAACCCTTTATAGTGCAAGACTTCAATCTTCATCAACAAGAGTAATAAACACCTGAGTTTTTGTGAGCAGGGACAAAAACTACTGTTTATTTGACATTTTGTTGATTACAGTTTCCAAAATGGCGTCCAGGTGGTGGTCCTTATAGTGACCACCACACATTTAGGGTGCGTTTAAGTCAAATGCGTTTGATAGCTTTCAATAAAGCAACTTTTATTTTTTTACATGAAACTGTTCAAAACATTGTAAGCAAAGTCCAACATTGCACTCTTTGCACTGAATTTTTGTCCTGTAGTTGAGATATTGGTTTCTCTTTAGTCTGTTTTTTCGTTTCTGAGTAGAGAATGTAGCTATTTACAACTGAGGCATCAAAAACAAAGTTAAAAGTTTCATCCACCATCGCCTGCTTTTCCAAGAGACATTATATGGAGACATGAGCTGATCAAACTTGTCCACACCCAGCATATATTTATTATAATCTGATACCGCACTTGGACAAATAACTTCCTCGCGATTCCCTTGGGCATTCGTTCTAAGAACAGTTGTTTCTTCCCTTGGATCGTGAAAATTGCTAGCAAGTAGGACTGGTTTGGTACCTCGATCCTTCCATTTGTATACAGAAATATCACCGGCCATGCAATAGTCAGATTCTCCACGTTTCAGGGATTTATCGTTCCTCATTTTACTTTTTGGGAAAAACTTTTATTTTTCCTTAGTGTGCCACATGCGAATGTATTTTTTTGCAAGAAGCATTTTGAGCAATGGAAAACTATTGAAAAAGTTGTCAAAGTAGAGACAGCGCCCCTCACCATTATATTTATCAGACATTGTAAGAACGGTTCTTTCTCCCAGGCTTATACCTGCCGAATCAGTTTGCTCTTTGCCTTCATATATCTTGAAACCCAAGTTGTAACCGGTTCGAGAACAAGCAATCACCCAAACTTTAAATCCCCTTTTCACTGGTTTCATGGGCATATACTGTTTCAACGTAGTACGACCCTTGAAACCAACCATGCTTTCATCAATGGAGAGTTCCCTGTAGGGAGCGTAAAGGGTTGAAAATCGTTCGTTCAAAATATCAACAAGTGGACGTATTTTATATAGCTTATCAAAGTTCTCTTGTCCTCGCTGTGGCATAACTTCATTGTCGTTTAGGTGAAGGTAGCGAAGAATATGTAGAAACCTCTTTTGTGACATTACGTTACTTATGCGGCTTACATGGAAGTTTTGATCTGTTGACCAGTACAATCTTAGGCTTGGCAGGGTATGGAAGCCCATTATCAGTAGCATACCAAAAAACGCTTGCAACTCATCCCGTTGAAAATTCAAACCAACTCCTTTTTGCTCTGCGTACCTGTTAGACTCGGTAATAATCATATCATATACTACGTCCGAGAATATTGCGTGAAAATACTGCACAGGTGAATCGATGGTGCCATTTGTTATCCAACTATATCCTTGAACCTTGTGGTTGATTATAGTTGAAATCTTTATAGGTCTTTGGTTGGCTTCCAATTTTCGTCCAATGAATCGATATCATCCCCATCAGCACCTGTCTCTTCTGGTTCATCTTCATCATTTTCAACGTCCTTTGTTGAGATGTCTAAGGCTCCTTGACATTCATTCATCCCACTGTTACAAGCATTAGTCATCTCAGATCCACTGTCTGATCCAGAATATTCATAATCGGGATCTTTTACAGAATCATCTGAATCATCTTGATAAACGTTACCGAAGTGGTAGAAGTATTGGCTGATACACTTCTTGAAACAATGATGCCTGACTTTGCCCTGGTGGTAGGTTTTGACTTGGGAATAAACTGTTTTGTCAATGGAAGATTGTCGTCGGCATCACTTTCTCCTTCAAGATCGGAATTTATAGCCTGAGCGTCGGATATTGCCTCACAATCTGCTACTATCTGTAGAAGCTCCTCCTGTGTCGCTTTCTGAAGCTCTTGAAACGTCCATTTAGTTTTCGAAGTCATATTCTGAAAGAAAAGTGCCAGATTCAAATTCCGATAACTCGTAAGCCGAATAAAATTTCAAAATCACTCTTTGTATTGAGTATCAGTAGCATATATTGAATAACATACGCATGTAACTATAAACGAAGATGTCGCATATAGATGTAAAATTAAAATTCAAAATTTATCTTTTTGAGGTTAGAAGTGTGGTACTTACCTTTATATGACAAAAGTTATTGATTTATCTGATACTTTTTACTCGAACATTAATTTATTCACCTTTACAACAGTGCAGATGACAATTCTTATAATATATTTTCGTGATCACCAGTAAGTCAGAAAAAAAACACAATGTAACACTTCGCGCGAAAACAGTTTTTATGCTTGCTCGTTATGCAAGGTGGTCCGATAAGGGACCACATAATAGTTGCGCGCGCTGATCACGTATTCAGCCACCAGTAGTGGTCCTCTAAAATACCACCGACTAATCCACACATATCGTTCTGTCAGCAAGGCTCATTTTTAGCGCACCGGTTACGCGAAATTGATACCTAACAGAGGTGGTCCTCAATGGGACCACCAACAGTTAAAGGGTTAAGCTGCTCTGCTGTGAGGATTCTAAATAGTTAAGAACTATTTGGGGATCCCAAGTATGGTCGTATTTCGGTTTAGGAGGTCTAAGCCTAAAAACACCTCTAATAGATCATTTCATTTGTGGATTATTTCCTAAGTTCTCTTGAATTATTAATGATATGGCCGCCCGATGAGAATTAGAGGAGCCAAATCTGTTATTGGAGGAATCCAAAATTCTCTGAAAGAATGAAATGATGTCAACGATTTGACAATCGAAAGGTGAAATATCGTTCATTTGACAATAATCCCACCATAATTTATATGTTGTGCTATATTGGTTTATGGTATTATCACTCAAGGACCTCAATATTGTATCTAGGGCATTGATGGGGATTTCCTTTCTTCTAAAGGCTTCCCTGATAATCTCGCAGCTACCAGGGTAAGATTGTTTGATAGCGGATGCTTCATTTGGCTGAAAGGACAAAAAAGCAACTTATCACTGGGTCCAAAAAATAATGGTTGCTTTATTATCAATTTATCGAACAGTGGGTACCACGGTTGAGTGCGCCATAACGGGACCACTAATATGCCTTGCGCCTCGTCAGTAATGATTTTGTGTAGGACTCTAAGTATCATTGAAAATGGCGGGAAAGCATAAAAGTTTAAGTTTCCCCAAGAGAACGTAAAAGCGTCAACTGATTCTGATCCTGGGTCCTTTATCCATGAAATATATCTGCCACATTTATTGTTATAAACAAGCAAATATATCAATCAATATCAGGTTTACCTAATTTGTCAGATATGATTGCGAAAACCTCACGGCTGAGAGACCATTCGGTTTCGGTACGCAATATTCGAGAAGCATTATCCGCTTGCCAGTTTTCTTTGGAAGTAATATATAATGCCAAAATCCAAATATTTCTATTTTCGCAGATTTTTGCCAGATTTTTCTGGTAAGAGCATTTAAATTTTGGTGGTGCACACTACCCATTTTATTGATACAAGCCAAGGCCGTAGTGTTATCAGTTCTGATTAAAATGCTACAATCACTAGTGTTTTTTTGCAATGCATTTTAGACCAAAAAATATTGCCTGTAATTCCAAGAAATTTATGTGATTCTCCTTATCCTGGGATGTCCACCATCCATGCGAACTTTCACCTTGGCAAAAGGCACCCCAGCCAGATAAGCTAGCATCAGTGCAAATTTCTAGTTCATATTTGTCCCTCGTCAAGTTATTTTTAGTGGTATCAATTTTAATTAACCACCAATTTAAATCCGACAGAATTGGTGCGGTTATTGTCATATAACCATTGTAATTTTCGTCGCTATCTTTCAAAGCTAAAAATTTTGCCCTTTCACAATTTTTTGTATAGAGCCATCCATATTTCACCGCCGGACAGGGGGATGTCAAATGACCGATAAGTTGGGCAAATTTAAGAATTCTAAATCTTCTTTGTCTAATAAGATTATTGGCCAATGTTGAAATTTTTTGTCTTTTGTCTGAAGGTAACTCCAAAGTCATGGTATTTGTATCAAATATAAGGCCTAGAAACTTGAACCTCATGCTCGGAGCTAGAACACTTTTTTCCTTATTGACGATAAGGCCTAAAGAAGATAAAACCACATTTTTCCTACATTCCCCTTCAGAGTTCCCCAGAATCAAAAAGTAATCGAGATAATGAACACATGGTATACCCCTGGCTCGTAATATTTTAACAATGGGTTTCATCAGTTTCGTAAATGTAAGAGGTGCTGACGAGAACCCGAACGGTAAACAAGTAAATTCAAAGAATTTGTCGTCAAAATAAAAACGCAAATACTTCTGATAGTCCGTATGAATAGGTACTAAATAATAGGCATTTTTTAGGTCAATAGTCGATGCATAGTGGCCACGTTGAATTAATTTGGTAGCCGTTCGGGCATCTTCCATTTTAAAATGTGGTGCAAACACATATTCATTTAGTTCTTTAAGATTCAGAACAAATCTTTTCCCACCACTTGACTTGTCTATAAGGAAAAAGTTAGACAAAAGTTGGTCACTGCGAGGTTGACATAGCCTTACAGCACCTAGTTCTATTA